CCGCAAAGTTCAGTTTCAGTTCATGCCTCTGACAGCAACTTATTACTTTTCTCGCAAATTGTTTTCCTTCAGAAGAGCATGTAGGAGATGCAAGAAATTATTATACTTTTCCTCTTCGCACATCACTCTTCACATAGTGGAATACTGTCACTCGGTTTTCCTATGGGAACCGTTTATGCACGATACCAGAATAGTATCAAATTCAGCTGCATAGATATCAACAAAACAACTTGTAAATCGAGTTATCTCAACACCGAAATTAAACATTGCCATTCGAGAAGTGTGCGAGTGAACGTATAACATTACACTTGAAATTATGCGAATATAATGCTGAAATATACGCGAATCTAAATTTAGCGCACGGATATTGAACACAGAATATAAATTCACATCCTGAATATGAACTCTCCGAAGCATTTGAAGCATTTTTTGGATACCGCTGAAATTTCGTCTTCCCAATATCAAAAATTGATTGACTATTTGCAGAATCATCCCGATGCAATCGCTCTCTTCAAAATCGATCCTCAAACGGGTATCATTCGAACGACACAATCGAACTATGAACCAGAATCAACGCATGAACTGCTAATTATTGCAAGTGATCAAGGTCTACCACAACCACTTGAATCCACCGCGTTTTTGAGTATCACTGTTGAGAAGAGCAACGAAATAAGACCTCAGTTTGATATTGTTTGGCTTACGGATAGTGGAACTGCTCAAGTTTATGAGAATGTCACTATTGGCTATGTCCTTTCGCGGATTTCCGTTCGTGATGCCAATTACGATAGGTAGGTAATTCATTCTTGTTCTTCAAATCAGTATAATTCAAATCCATTTTTCTTCATTCAAAAAATGTGGATATCTGTATGCACTTATTCTCATGATTTCAGTGAACTCACGATGGTTGGATGTGATTCGATTTGTATGAAACAAACCGATTCGTCGAATGTCTATTTGTTGATCGTTTGTGGTGCTTTTGATCGTGAATTCAAGCACTCCTACAATTTACTCTTTTCGCTGAAGAATGCCAATAAACTCATTCTCGAATATCCCGTTCACTTAGAGGTTAACTTTAGTACTGATTTCGTAATCACTGAATGCTTCCATCTTGTCAGATGACTGCTTCTATTGAGTCATCTTTCATGGAGCAATATTATGTGCTCCTCGAATAGCTTTATTAATACGCAGTTTTGGTGTGCAGGTATTGGATGTGAACGATAATGCGCCACGTTTCGAGCATTCGTTGATCCGCGTAACTTTCAATCGATCAGCCGATCAGTTCGATACTCCACGGATTATCGCAACAGATGCTGACTACGATTCGAACGCTCGTGTACACTATTCTATCCTTGACACAAATATTTTCTCGATTGAAGCTGATACGGGAATATTACGGTTGCAAAAAGAGGTTTGTGAATGATCAATTCATCAACTCAAATTCACTATAATTCTCTCCAAAAGCAAGGCTAAACAAAATGATGCATACGAGTGCGCAAGTGTGAGAAAGTCGTGATGATATGATGTCAGAAATGAACAACGATACTCGTCAGATGATTATACCTTAGATTGTACTCTTGACATTGTCATTAATCACTGACTGCTCGAGACTAACGGAACATGAAAAGGCTCCGATCTGATTAGGATCTTTATTATGTGATGAGCATTGTTTCTAATTATGATACTCAGTATCTTTATCTTACAAAGATGCAAATGGGTTAAGTGCATGACAAGTGCACTTGTGTCTATGATTGATGCATTGCAAAGAACTCTAAAGCGAACTAACTAAAAATAAAACAATCAACAATCCTGTAACAGATTATATAAGTGGATCAGTAATAATGTTTCACAAAAAAAATTTTCAACGTGTTACAAAAATCTGCATAAATGCTGATCTCACTGTAAACACAGGGGACGGTATCGCTTTTCGATTCAAATGACTATCATATCACTACTTTGTCATAGTCCTTCCTTTTTTGATGCATCCCATTTTAAACTGCAACTGTTGTGTGACATTGTACATTTGAGGTATTCAATTTGGGCAAGAAATCACCGTCGAAGATTTTAAATGTGTACCTTAGGTTCACAGATCTTGAGTATTGCCAGTTTAGTGTTCTCTTTTGATGGCAAAGAAATCTCATTGAATTGTCTGATTGTGAATAAATTGGCTCATTTACTTGTTTCAGTTTGATTGCTCGGCTGGTGAAGTTCGTTTCCGTGTAGTTGCCGAAGATAGTGGAAAGCCGCCGCTGATGTCAATTGTTGATGTGATAGCGGATGTGATTGAGAACAACGCTCGACCACCGGTCTTCTCAAAACCACTCTATGAAATTTCGGTTAAAGAGGACGCTGAACCAGGGACTTGTCTACTGAAGGTCAGTGCTTCTTAGATTTTCGAACAACGAAAGAAATCACATGAATAGAAGATGTTGACTATGCGAATCTACAATTACCAATGTCCATTAGGGGTAATAAACGTTCGTTGTCTTTTAATCGAATTGTTCATTTGATAAAGACATTACTGAACTGATCCGTCGCCGAACGATAAGCAACTAGTTCACTAATAGTGTCTTTTAAGAGATTGTTGCTGCTCTTATTGACGACATAACCACACATTACTTAACTGACAAATAATTAGTTACCTAACAAAAATAGCTCTCATTTAATTTTCTACGAAAAAAAATTCTTAAACTCTTCGAATAAGTCATTGAGTTGCCGATAGAAGTGAACTGCTCTTGCTAAATCAAAACTGGTATATTGATATACTGTAGATACAGTTTTTGTGATTTAATAGCTACATTTGACTACAAAGTTTTTCAAAAATGGCTCAAAGCATAGCGCCATCGTGATGCCTCAATTTTGAAGTTGTTAACGAAGTGTACAACAATGATTGCTGGCGTGATTCCGATAAAAATTTGAAATGACATTTCAATCGAAATTTATTCGTATTTTGCAATTAGTAAATTTAGAGTATAATTGCACAGAGCAATAATAATGCATCTGTTTGAGCAGATTTTTGAAAGGATCACTTCAAAACTGTCATAAATGTACGGCAATTTCTCAAAAATTTCATAATTGCTCCTAGACGGTAGCAATTAGAATGTGTATCACAACGCGTGCGAAGGTGTAATTACAAGAAGTGGATAAATTACTGTGTAGAAATGTGTGCTTATATGGTATTGCGCATTGCCTTCATTTCAAATGAGCGTGTCATTTTGGCACTTGATGCATCATATTTCGACCACAAAACAAACATCACTGAAGATGACCATTTGATGGATAGATATGTCACAATCGTTGACCCTAATATATCTCTTGTTGATTNCACTCTTTGACACGCAACTTTCACGAATTCTAAATGATTATTGATGGGTGAAATTGAATTTTTTTTTGCGATTGCAGAGGATATTTTTTCAGAAAAATTCGATGACATTTTAAATCAATCAACACCTATGAATAATACACAAATACTCGACTGAGATTATTATTCATTTTGTTTGTTCTCAGTTCTTTTTCTTCACAACAATTTATTTCCGCCATTTATGATGGAAAGCTAATCGCTTTTTCTTGAGTCACCGACCGAATAAGCGATATCACTGCGATTATCCTATTGATGTGGTTTCGGTTTATTTTCCTCAATGAATCTGTCTGTCTAAATTTGGAAAGCCAATCAAATAAAATGCGTACATTTGAAGTGCTTCTACGCAAGCGAAGCAAGATGCCGTGATGGTCACTAAAGTTAAATGAGAATGCTGATTGTGCGTTGTTTGTATGCACATTTATGGGGATGACATAAATCAGACGGTTAATTGAGTGATATGTCAACACGGCGAAGTGAAAAATAATTACTTCTGCTTTATTGCACATTTGAGAATGGCAAAATGCATCTTCCGAGATGATTTACGAGATCGCTGTGGTGCACATTTGGGTTAATTCGCATTCATTGATCCATCCTATCAAAGCCCTTTAGCCACAGACCAAACTTATCGCAAAATTACTAAATATAGAAAGTCCCATTCGGAATTTCAACGTGAACGATTTTGTGAGGAATGTTAAGACAGAAAATCTGGGGAGATCACGAAACNTGAGACATTTGAATGAGTTTTAAGATGAGCTGTTTGAACAATTTTGTTAATTATATCACATTTTGCTCTTGTTGCTTGCATGTGATTCATTATTATGGGGAAAGTCAGTATGTTCTATCGGTTGCAATGAATGGAACAGTTTTTAGCATTCGGAAGGTAGGCAGCAATAATAGTCGAGAAAAGCAACGCTTCAATCTAATATATGATTTGAACAGATGAAATGGAGTGTTTGATGTACGATTAATAACTTCAATTTATTTTGGATTAGCATTCATATGCAACTGTCTTTGCGAGAGTTAATTAGTTTCCCTCCTCATAATCCGCGAACTTAATAAAGTCGTTTATAACTCATTTGTGAATGATATCTCGAATGTTACTGAATGAGTCAGTCATTCATTGTAGTATTGCTATAACCGATGTGAAAAAATAGTTCATTTTATGGTATTGATATGATGTCATCAATACTTCGTTATTTTATGGTATTGTTCCAATTGATGGATTGTGAGAGAAAACTCATAGAGAAAAGCAAAAATTTTATTGG